ACTCACTACTAATGTTGTTTTAGGCACAGAAAAAACATTGAAGGATAAACCCAGAAAAGCATTTTCTGTTAAGATGTCTTTTCATTATAAATCAACCATAGACGTTTTAAGGATCTTTGGAAGAAAATAATGGAATTCCTGAGTCCAAAGGTAGGCTCAAAGGGTCCTGTTTCTCAGCAGCATTACACATGTGGTGCAACTGGGAACTTGTATCAGCACAACACAACTGGACTCTGCACTTCGAAATCCCACTGCACTTGCTTTTAGTATGTTATTAACTCATCATAACTAACACACTGAACTAACTCCTTTGAAGAATACAGAGGCTTGTGTTCATGTAGCTTTGCCCCACTACAGAGACACCATGGCTCTTCTGCTGCTCTCTGCGAGGCTGGAGGGCCAGCTCAGCCTGATGTCTGTGTATGAGCCATGAGACGGGCATTGCCAATTCAAAACCAGACAGGTGTGGAAATAGCAAAGCACTTTCAGGGTACTGCATTTCTTAAGGTACATTCAGGTGAAACAATTATTTTCTCTGCAATTTGGCTTACTGACTGTGTCCCCTTTTTCTCAGAGGAGAAGTCTCAGTCCTTCTACCTTCACCTGATTATCAGAATATCCCATGAGTGAACTAGTTTCCTGAGAAACCAGGCACTGAGGATCCTTTTCTAGGAGCTTATGGAGGCATGGTCTGAAGAAAGTGTCTATGCAAGACCCATGGACATGGTCCCCCATCACTTCAGCTGAAGTCCTTTCAGTCCAACTGATACAGCAGTGCCAGCTTTTTGCTGAGCCAAGGCCTGGGGCCCACCCATTGTACTTCTTCTGGATGGGTCATTCTTTCCCAGCCTTGGCTGTTGCATAACCCATGTTCCATATGTCTAATTGGCAGTAATGAAGTTCAGCTTTTCTCCACTCCAAAAGCACTTTGGTTCTTTGTGTTTTGACAGTCTTCAGAGGAGAAGTTCAACTCCTTTCAATGCATCTTTAGTCAGACAATAAATCAGAATCTTTTTCCCATTTGTCCTTCTACTGAAGTGGAAATTAAGAAGCGACATAACTGTGAATAGGCAGTAACCCAGTATCTGAGGCTATGTTCGTTTTTCCCTCTACCTCCTGCATGAGAGTTCTTGTTAGACATAAAATATATGCCACTTTTCCCTATACCATTCCTGTGCTTTGGTATTTAATTCATTGCTGTGGGACTTTTTAGGTGTAAAAGATGCTGTTCTATATGAAAAATGAATTATTCTGTCACATTAGCACACAGCCTTTCAGTATATGATGAGTTCTTTCTGCTGTTTCTTTGGCTGTCAGTCTTGTATCCCACCAGAAACACTGTCTTTTGCTGAACTATGTTGCCATGCCAGATATTCCCACTTTCTCATTTCTAGCCAGTATTTTCCCATCAACTTCAGAAATATACTGAAGGAAGGAAATTAGATTATTCAGATGTGCTGTGTAGGGCAGGGTTACCAGTGGGCTTTGCAAGAAGCACGCTTAAGGCCTCTCCTGAGGCCATGGTAATTTGACATGATACAGAGAGAGAAAGTGAGTCACAGAAGTAAAGTGCTTTGCTAGTAAATCTGTAAAAGGATAGAAGACTTCTGTCTCTTCTGGGATTTCTCTTTGACCTGAAAGCCTTTCCTCAACAGGACTTGTGTTGACTTCTCTGCAGCATTTATTTTCCCACCAAGAGCAGTGCTTGCTAGAAGGGGAAGACGGCTTGCAAAGTTGCCTCACAAAATTATCTCCACAGCAGGAAGAGTTGGAGACAGCAGCACTTGTGTGCCTTTTCTACAGTACAAAACCCTACAGTTTCTCTCTCCTCTTTTTTTTGCAGCATGGGAGTTGATGGATTTGGTCAATCACCAGGGGTTCCTGGCCGCCCAGCGACTGCCTATGGATACCGCCCAGATGAACCTTACTACTACAGCTATGGAGCACGATAGAACAGCCTGCTGTGCAGCCCAGGATGCTGCTGCCACCTGCCCTGGAGGAACCAGCTCCTGTTTGTGGCCAGCAGATCTGTCCCTTGGTAATGCATGATTGTACCACAATGGGTCCATTGTTACGTATCCTTTGGCGTGTGTAGCTCCTGGCAAACCTAGCCTTTCTGGGTCCAGTGTTTTAGTGACAGTGTTTACTCCTTGGTTGCTCGTTGTTATAATTTTTGTAAAGTATTTGCTCTGTGACTTGAAAGCAAGAATTGGAAAGCTACTGGACTGGAAAGTGTCACATTATGTATATTAAGCTACTAATTTAATTTCTATTAAATATAAAAACCTGTGTGGTCAGCAGCGGTGAATGTGTTTTTAACCAAGGTTTCATTTGTTTTACAAGGCATTTAAGAAGAATGCCTCATGTGAAGTGTGTTTAAGATGGACTGTTTTCCCTCTAACACTGAAGTAACAGGAACTCCATTAAGCCCCAGCACCTTCTGGCACTGCCTTGACATGTGGCGACCAAAGTCCAGCCCTCGGTCTGAAGACTTTAATAATGGAAAGATGGCACAGATTCCCTCCCCTGGAGCTTCAAACATTTACAATCTACTTTAAATGCTTGAAAGCACTTAAAATCAGAAACTATAATACAGTAGAATAGCTTTACCATAGTGTTTAAATAGAGTTCTGTGGGCTGACAGAAGACAGCCACATTCTGAGGATTAGCAAGAGAACACAATGCTGTAACTTGGTTCCAAATCCAGATGCAGAACCTTCCCCATACTGAAATAGAAATGCATCCTGTCCTGCGTGTTCAGGGTTGAGGCTGGATCTAAGCACAGATCACTGACTGGGCAGCAGAGACAAGCCAGGGCACCTTCTCCTTGGACACGCAGTGTGGTGATTGCATTGAGCCACGGTTTGAAATGTGCCACATGCAGACAGAGTTGAGGCTAAAGCCGTTCCTCAGTTGTGTACCCCTGCCTGTGACAGGCAAAAGGAAATGTGCAGACATGCCCTCTCTGCCACAGAAATCAAGACAGCAGTTCAAATGTTTGCTTTTTAAAAGAAAAGCTACCTCCAGCTTGTGACTTCTTTTTTTTTTTAATGGTTAATGATTTGTCATTGAATTGTTTCTCTCCTTCCTCCCTTACTTCTGAGTAGAAAACAGACTTGCATCAGGGGCTGATGCTACTAAAACAGTAGCCAGTGATCCCATCAGATTGGTGTATGTGCTAGGAAGCTGATCTTCAAAGGCCTGGTGGTGTTTAGGAACTTGATGAACTATTAGTCTTCAAAAATATTTTAAAATCAGGATTGTTTTTAAACCTTGTTTTATCTTTTTTTAGAAAAAGATAAAAACTTAGAAGTGTGCAGGTACTTTGATATGCACTGTTACCCACTGTGTTGCACTGGAAAAGATTCTAAAATCAGCCATGGTATTTCTTACATGTTTTCAGTCTCCTTGTGTGCTGGCTTCATGTTCATGGCTTCATTTACTGGAGGTAGGTGGAAGAACAGTGTTGCCAAGATTAACTAGTATTTTTAAAAATAATTTTCTATACAGTTTTTTAACTAATTCATATGTAGTTTCTTAGAAAATATAAGATCTTACTAGAAACACTGCGTAAAACTTGAATTAAACTAAGGGGTTTCCAGTGTTGTACCTTTCTAGATCTTTTCTATTAGTCTGAGCCCACACTTTACCTGCCCAGCCGTTGTGCCACATTCAGTCAAAAGCTTTCAGATATTTTTATAGTTAGAGCTGTGAGAGCAATTACCCAAACTGCATATTCAGACACAGGCTTCTCTTTTGAGACTGGCACTTCGCTCATCAGGCTTTTCCAGAAAATTAGTGTGAAGTTATTTAAAGCAGTTGCCCTTCTCATGGAATGTGTTTTGGGGGAAAAAATAAATAAAAATGAAGTGGGTCCTTGGAGTATATGCAAACTATCAATGAAACTGAAGGAGCCTTTAATTGGAAGGTTCAGGTTAACGAGGAACTACAGTTGAGCTTCAGCAAATGGGTGGGTGTCTGTAATTGTAATACAGTTGTGGCCATGCTGAGAATAAATGGCAGTGGAAAAATCTCTGGCTGCATTTTTAGTATTCAATGTTAGGAGTTTATGGGAAAAGAATAAAAGATCAAGTATTTGTAGCTTTGCCTGGCAGCAGCTAAGAGGAGAACATCATTTATCTGCAAGCAGAGCTTGGTAAAAATTACTCAGCACTTAGTAGCCTGAGGACAGAGCCTGCTAGCCAAGATGAAAACCAGCTGTGCCACTGCACTCTCTAAGGCAGGAGAGAGGCTGATTTTCCCTTTAATTACAGCTTCTGAGCCAAAAAAGGGAAAAAAGATATGAGCACATACACTTTTCAATCTATATCACATTTCCTGTGGGTGTCAGAGGGAGACTGGAGAGTCTGACCTGCAGGGGAACTTTTTAATTACCTGTCTTTATGGGTTCAGTCCCTGTGCACTGTATCCTGCATAAAACAGGACGAGGAGAGACCTGCTTTATTCTAGCAACTTCTACAATTTTTATCCTTTCCTCCATTTCCTTGTTTCTCTGCCTGACTTGCTTCTTAGCTCCTCACTTATTCCCCTACAGCAACAACCCCTAACCATCCCAGGAGTATCCTCTTTCCCAATCTGCTGCTAATTAATTAATGAGTTTGGTTATGCAGGTGTGTTAGATATAATTAGGCTGTAAAGTTAATAGCACAATGAAAGCAGCACAGGCTGAGTTCATATGCCTGTTAACTATTATGCTGGCTCTCACAGATGTACAACACAGTTGCAGTGAGTTTCTATTTAATACAGCAGCTTAAGATCTTGTTTTAAATTATTATTTGTACTGCCCTAGTATTTAGGAGCTTACCAGGATGACAGAGTGTGGGAAAAAGCAAAAGTAAACAAATATCCGTGGCCTAAGGAGCTTAGGAGGGACCTGGTTCAAAGTCTTAAATGGTGTGTGCGTGGAGCTGTGGTAACAGTTTAACATGTGTGTTTCATTCTGAGATAAGACTTCCATGATTCTGTTTTGTTTAATCCACTCTGGATTAAATGAAACAGGAACAAGATGTATCTTCTTCTGGAACAAGCAGAACAAGCTGTTTAGATGCAAGAGATTTCAAGCCCCTCTGGCAGGTTCTTTAATGGATTCCTGCAATTCACCACTGGTAAACTCAGCCCTCCACTCTTTGTGGGAGAGGCTGACAATAGCTACAACCTTCATTTCTTCCATGACCAGCCTCCAGAATAAATTCAGTGAAGTTGCTTTGCTAGTGCAAATTAAGTTACAACTGCCAGCCCTTGAAGCTGCTGTGAGGGTGCATGCCTTGCTACCTCTTCAGCTTGAGTGAAACAATGGACTTGCCCAGGAAAAGGGGATGAAGGGAAGGAGTGTTTCTTCACAGCAAAGTAAATATGCTGTAAATGATGCAGAGAAACCAAGGTTTGCTTTTTTCCTGAGAGCCTCATGAATTACACCACAGCCAAGTACTGTGAGTAGAAGTCAGTTGTTGCTTATTAATATTTTTTGTTTGTCTTTAGTTGAAGTTGTTAGGGTTTTCCAACCTTCTGCCTTTTCCCTGCCACACACACACAGGACACACAAATCCATGCTTAGGCCCTTGGATAAACTATGGCAAAGAATGCCCATTGTTCCCCTTATTTTGCACTGTAAGGCCAGGGTCTTTTGGCATGACTGTTCTTCCAATTTGGCCCAAAGACTGTGGATCTTTCCTACCTTTGAAAGAAGGAGCTGGCATATCTGAACTTAGTTTTACTTTCTGTTCCTGTATGGATTGTGTTACCCCATAATATGTGACACACTTGGCCTCACACACCATGTACGACCCATCATCTTTCTGCTTTATTTAAGAAGACTCAGATCATCCCACTACCAATACATCCCTCTGCCAGAGGAGTGAACTCCTCCCTTGCACTCTGCACCTTTGTCAATCCCAGCAGAGCAGTTTATAGTCCTCCTAGTGCACAGTTGTAGAAAAGAACCTTCCTCTTTGCCTGCCAAAGCAGACTGTGAAGCTCAACCAAATAGAGTTTGAGTGTGGATATTTATCTGTCTAGATACCTGGGGCTTTGTCCTGCTATGAACGAGCAGACCTGTGTCTCTGGGAGTCTGCACTGGACTGGGAACGCTTTGCTTAGAGAGGGGGGGAAAGGTATTGCTAAAGAATATGCTTTATTACATAGTTCATGCCGGATTTGACAGCAGAAGATTTAATGCAGGCTGAACTGCTGGCGTTTAGTTACTAAAGAAAGCCAAGGAGCTAGCACGGCCCAGACCACCTTTGTTAAAGGGGCTGCTGTTGCCATTAAATCTTTGTCTAGACAAGGCCACGGGTATGGGCTGTGCTGCTGGGCCCTGCTCCGAGGTTCAGAATGACTGAGGAAACCACATCCTAACGCCCTGGCGCTGCGTGAAACTGGAATAACATTGGCAAGAGGAAAACGGCGTGTGAAAGGCCCGGACCTCCCACCGCACCGGAGCAATTCCTTTCAGCGTCAGTTCCACTGCCCAAAGCACTCACGTGAAATCACTCCCCGGGGTCGCTTTTACTCCGCAGCGCGGAGAGCAATTAGTTTTAATGGCATTAAATCGATCTCCTTGCCACGGCACAAGTTTCACCAGCGAAGCGAACGCGCCGGGCTGAGGCGCGGGGAGCCGGGTCAGACAGACCCCCTGCCGCCCGCCCGGGAGGGACCGGCGTGTCCCAGGGAGGGAGACACCGATTCCCCAGCCCATCACGGGAGGCACAGCCCGTTTGCCCACGGGAAAGGAGGTTCGCACGGCGGGAACGGAGCCCTGGGAAGGGCCCGGGGGGCTGAAACGCGCCC